CAAGTATTTACCTATCAATTTGGACAAGCAACAATTGAAGGGAAAATAATAATTGTATGATTTGTTGAGGGCATGGGTCAGGCCCTGTGCCTATTGCATTTAATCCTGGTACTAATTTTGTGCTAATTTTATTATTGTTTCATTGCTAAGGAAACAGACTAAGAGGAACCCACCCAACATCTCACATCTGAGTAGTAGAGACAGTTTTAAGCAGAGGGGTCTGACGTAGAATCAATGTACTGTGTGTAGTGACAGGAGGCTTGTTGTGATATTTTTGGTTTTTACTTTATATAAAGGTCTGTAAGTTTACTTGTAATTACCAGTTGTGATCTCAACCAGCTTTACTTTAGGAAGGAAATCCTTGCTGTTTCTAATTGCCATAGGAACAACTCAGGTAAGGCAGTGTGGTAGAGGTGAGATGGAGCTGTCTGACTTCACAGAATCCGGAAAGGAGGACACTGGATGTCCTGCAGGGACCTGAGACATGGTTCTCAGTCCCTTGATACCAAGAGGTCGAAATAAGGGGAATTAAGCGAGTGGGACAGCCTGGCACATTTCTCTCCCTTTTGGCTTGACTGCCTCAGGGAACGAGAATTTCCTAGGCTAATGTTTTCGTGGACAGTGCTGAGTATAGGCACTGTCACTGTTGCCTCTGGCGCGCTGTCTCCTCTAACTCCTCAGCCGCCCCTCCTTCCTCCCGCCCTCCTCTCATTGGCATAGTCCTTCTTTAACAGCGTTGGTAAGTCCATCTAGTTCTGCTAGTGGTTCTGCTCTTCTTGCGCACACAGATGACGCTGCTTATCTGTGCTGCTGTTCTAAATGCTGTTCTAGTTTGCGACAGACTCTAGGGCATCCTTTTCCCCCGCTGGAACCGTGGCTCCTAAATTTCTTTTTTAATTATTGGAGTGAAAACATACATAAAAAGATAGACACTGTATCTCGGCAGTTTCTGTGTGTACAGTTCACTTGATTATTTTCTTCAAGTTGTGCAACCATTTGCACTATTCTTTTCCAACAGGCCCCGTCACACACACTACTATCATAAACTCAGTGCCCCTCAAGTAGATACTCCCTCTTACCCCTTCCCTTGCATCTCTGCTAACCACTGATTGATTATCTTTGGTTTCTGCATATTAGCTTCTTTCACGTAAGTGAGATAATAAAATACTTGTCCTTCTGCGGCTGACGTATTTCACTGGCTGATGTTTTCACGGTTCATCCATGTTGTGGCATGAGCCAGGACTTTGTTTCTCTTTATGGCTCAGTGGTGTTCCATTGTATACACACCACATTAAAAAAAAAAAAAAAAAAAAAAAAAGACGTGTTGTAGGTGAAAGTTTACCGAGCAAGTCAGTTTCCAGTTGGATGGTTTGTGCATGCCTTAACATTGGTCACCTTCCCCACAGCATGCCAGCCCTCTGCCCGTTTCCAGCCTGGGTTCCCTGTTCCCTTTCCTTTGGATTTTCAACCCCTTCCTGCCATATCATCTTTGCTTTTAGGCAAATGTCATTTTGCTCTAGTATAATTGATTTTTCTGAGGAACACGTTCCTCTCAGGTGTTTATTTTATGGGCCTGTCTCTTTAGGAGCTCTAATGGCACAGTGGCTAAGGCATTAGGCTGCTAACCAAAAGGTTGATAGTTCAAACTCACCAGGCGCTCTGCTCTGTGGGACAAAGCTGAGGCAGTCTGATTCTGTATGGAAACCCTCTGGGCCAGTTCTATAGGGTCGCTATGAGTTAGAATTGACTCGGAGGCAGTGGATTTGGTTTTGATTTGGTCTGTCGTTTGCCTGAGAGGTGGTCTTTGGCAATGGGTTCAGTCCCAGGTCAGAAGGATGTGTTAAGGCCGTAATCTCAGGGGTTCCTCCAGTCTCTGTCAGACCAGGACATCAGATTTTTCTGAATTTGATGTTTTGTCCTGCGTTTTCTTTTTGTTCACCCTGAGACCCTCTTTTGTGATCCCAGTGTTTAGTGGTAGCCAGGAACCATCTAGTTCTGGTCTGGGCATGTAGGCTGTGGTTGGACAGCATGTTTTCATTTGTTCATCTGTTAGGGACATTGTGGTCATTTCTACCTTTTGGCTATTGTGAGAAGTTCCACAGTGAGCGTTAGTGTGCAAGTTTCTGTTTGTGTTCCTGCTTCTGCTTCTTCCCAACCTTCACCTTAGCTTTTTGAGGACTTCTCAGACTGTCCATTTTGCGTCCCCACCAGCAACGCAGGAGGGTTCCAGTTTATCCACAGCCTGGCCAGTACCCTCTCTCTGTTTTTTTTTTTTTTTTTTTTTTTTAATGGCTGTTCTGATCGGGGAGCTTTGGTTTGCATCTACCCCCTGGCATCGTCCAATGTCTTTTCCTATGCTGGTTGGCCATTTGAATATCCTCTCTGGTGAAATGTCTATTCAAGCCCATGTTTTTTTGTTTTTAAGTTTTTGTTGTGAT